ACGAAGTACTTTTATGCAATATCGAACAATGCACGAAATACCCTAATTGATACTGTGAAACGACGGTGCTCACATATATTGAACTGGTCAGATTAACTGAAACACCAGAAGATTATGAGCGACACTGACGAGGAGCTGCAAAGCTGTTTGAACAACTACGACGCTACGATTGAGAACCATCGCGTTTGTTAGACTGCTGGAGCAGAAGGAAAAACTGCAGCGTGAGCAACATAAGACCAACGAAGAATACGTGGCGCTGCGTAACGAGAAGACACGCGTGGAAACGAACATCGGCATGTACCAGAAGATGGTGGCGGACCTCATTGACACGGCCTCGAAGCTCAGCACCAAGTATCGCTTCCACTTGCAGCCGCTGACGTCGCAACAGGAAGATATCTCGAGCTTTCTAGCGGAGTTTAGGAGCGTCGTCAAGGACAGCAAGAAGAGGTGAACAAGCTGGACGCCAAGCGGCGACAGGAGGATGACGCGTTGATGACGGAGCTGTCCGAGCTGACGTCGCAGGCCAAGCGACTACAAGATGACTAGAAGACCAAGACGCAGAGTCCGGAGGCGTTGAATTTCAACATGAAAAAGTTCGTCGCTCATGTTACGGGGCATACAACAAAGGCTGCAAACGGCACCCCAATCATACGCATGGTACCTGCCTCAAATCTGCCCAATCCAGATGAGCTAGCCCACGAGAGCTCAAGCTAACTTTAGGGTAACGTTATCTTTATTTGTTGGCATGCGTAGTAAAATTCGATTCAAAACGAATACTACTTAAACTACTACTTTGTCGATTACGAACTTCCCCAACATGTACAGCATGATCACTATTAATACATGTACTGCTCATTGTTTTTAAGTATAAATTACAGAAGCGGACTGCTGATTGCTGTATGGCTGCCGTCCCATCATCAAGTCTTAATCACCCTTCCACTTTCCTCATAGCACGACAGCCATTTAATTTTACAAAATAATCGTTTAATCCCGCCTAATACCCGTTTGTATTTTCACTTTGACATTTCTCCGCAAAGGCCATGAGCGATTCGACTATTCAGCCAGGAGTATGCGTCTGTTCTTGTGCATTTTCGTTGTGACAGTGATGACACCACTGTCGAGTGGCGGGGCTATTTCTTCACACGTACCGCAGCGAGCATTATACACCCGTGGCCTAGTTGCCGACAACGCCTTCGACGATGAAAAGGGAAATCTTAGGGATAAAACAAAAACTGAGACCCCGAACATTAGGAAGGGGGTGGTGATGAAGCAGAAGAACGAGGTATTGAGAAGCTCAAGGGGCTATGGATAACTCTTGTAACAAGGATTCAAGCCTAGGTGAATAGAATACTCGAACCCAGCTTTCAGAAGTTGGCTGACGAGGGCAAGACTGTCTCGGATGTCAAGACGGAGTTTAGGACCAGGTTGATGGGAGCTGGTTTGTGGGAAAGCCATCAGGTTCAAAGGCTACGTCAACCATTTATGAGGTGTGGTGCGCAATTAATCGTCCAAAACTGTCGTATGAGATTTGGGGGACGACGTCAAAACGCTGATTCTTAACTTGGTTACTGAACGAGTTACAAGACCATTCAAACAAGAGTAACGATCTTTCCTACATATCCAACATGTAATTAATGTTTGTAGCTTATCAAAATAAACACTTTTTTCTTTTCGCAAAAACAGTAAAGTGTCAGTAGCTTCTAGCTCTCTCTTGACACGACCTCAACTAAATGAATGCTACGCTGAAAATACAACGTAGTGTCAGCTAATACCACGCCTTGCGCGGAAAGCTTTGGAGTTTACTGGAAGCGTAGCATTACTAAAGCTTCGCGAAAGCGGTAGCTATGTTTCGCAAGTTCGTGGCTGGACTCCTTGAATTTCCTATTTAGACCCAGTAGTTTTAGGGTCATTCACTATCATTCGAAGTATAATCTCCAGTGAAAAGAAGAACGCATCAAAACTCATTCAGATGATGCTGCTCGAAGGGTAGCCATTAAAAATAGAAAAGAATGTAAATGACCCTAAAACTACTGGGTTTACATGGAAAAATCAATGGGTTGCATTAACCCCCTGGTTCCCGACGTCATAACTTACGCCATACGAAATCCGCTATGTCGTAACTTACGACATAGCCGGTGTGACATTAGAAAACTCTATTGACAATAGTTTATCCAAGATATATTCAACTATATAAGATGCGAGAGACCAAATGAGCAGTGCACAAAAACTTAACAGCGGGAAGGAGGTACGGAGAATGCGACACGTGGGATACATTGGAAGACCGTTTGCGTGTCATTCTAGAAATTGCCGAATGGCGCGCATCCGATCGACCAAGCGCGGGAAGACGGCCGTCGTCGCTGCAGCCGCGAGGGATACCGATTTCCGGTACCTGT